ACATTAACACTCTTTTGTAGGTGGTTGGATGTAAGAAATTTGCAAACTACAGGGGGTTAGATGTAACTTCTCAAAATGAAGGGGTTTTTTCGTAAATAAATCTTAACTCAAGGGTGGTTGTAATTTTCCAATTAAAAAAAGAAGAGAAAGGGAAAATAAAAAGGTAGAAGAATGAGTCATTGTCTACACATTGTCAATAGCCTTTTTAAATCACTTTACGTAACCTTTGCATGTTATCTGTTAGATCTCACCATGTTATGCTGACGTCATAAGTATATTCCTTTTTTTTTTTTTTAAATACTCTCTTTATTTCAAATTATTACTTTTTCTAAAAAATGATTTATTAATTATTCGTTCCACAATAATTGGATAGATTAAGATAGATACCCTGCTGGCAAGAAGAATCAAGAAACATGTTACCCACAGCCTGGAATTATTATGCGTACACTACATTCGATGTCGGATAATCATTTTAATATAATAAATTAATCCAATAAAATACACACCATCCACCTCACTATCAACACATCTTTTCTTTACAATTATCTTCCAAAATAATAAAAATTAAAAAAATAAAAAATAAAACAAATCAAATACAATTCAAGTGGGAAAAAAGAAAGAAAGAACAAATCAAATACAATTTGCAACCAAAAAAAAAAAAAAAAAAATCATCTACAATCCATAGAACTAACCGAATCCTTAATTCCCGAAGGCTTCGAAGGAATGCTCGATTGTGTACTAAAAGACAAATCATCATCATAGAACATTCTAGATGAACCTTCATCATCTTGCCATCTCCGAAGAATTTGAGGAAGGTTCATATGTAGATCTATCCCACTCGAAGAAGAAGCTTCCTCTTCTTCGGGCCTCGTAGGCATCCATCTTTCCACAAGCGGGCCCAACACGTTAACCGCATGGCCCATATCGGGCCTCTGGTACGGCTCTCGAGCAGTACAATGCCCCGCCAGCTCAGCGACCTTGCATATGCTCTCGTAAGTCGCATCGTCCGGTTCGAGAATTGGGTCGATGGATTTTTTAAGGTTGTCTTTGCTGACTATGACTCTTCGGAACCATGTCACCAAATGAGATTTCTCGTATGGCATTGTCTCGTCTAGAGCTTTTCTGCCTGTGATTATTTCCATTAAAACAACTCCGAATGCGTAAACGTCGACTTTTGTCGTCACTCTTCCAGTTGCTGTCATGAAAAATAATAAAGTAAATTAAATAAATAAAATCGGAATAGCTAACGAAGTATTAGAGTGCTACTAAGATATTATCGTGCATTTACCATAAACGACATCTAAAAAGAAAGTGAAAGAGTATATATAATATCGGGTGCAAGATAGCAACTCACCAGCATATTCCGGTGCAAGATAGCCGAAAGTCCCAGCCAATCGCGTCTCAACAGAGCAATTCCCGTCGGGGGCATTCTTGACCAATCCAAAATCGGCAACCTTAGCTCTCATATCGTCCGAGAGAAGAATATTCGACGGCTTCAAATCCCTATGAATGAAGCTCTGCTGAGCCAAGCTGTGAAGGTACTCGACTCCCCTAGCCACATCCAGCGCTACAGTCACCCGCTGTTTCCAACTCAGACTGTCACATCCCAAATCCTGCCTTTCAAACAGATGCTGGGCTAGGGTTCCCTGTGGCATGTACTCGTACACCAACAGCCTCTCATTGCCATTGATACAGTAACCTAATAAAGCCACGAGATGCCTGTGCCTAACTTTAGTAAGAACCGCAATTTCCGATTCGAACTCCTTTAATCCCTTTGTAGCCGCACCGGATTCCATTCTCTTGACAGCGATTTTAGTCCCGTTGACCATAACACCCTTGTAGACAACCCCGAATCCTCCCCGGCCCAATATATTCTCTTCGCCGAAATTATTCGTCACTTGCCTGAGAATCTCGATGGAGAAACTGTTCATCGATTCTCCCTTTTGACTATGATCGCCGCTATTTTGGCTCTGAGTTTTGATCATAAAATTAGTCTTTGGCTTTCCTTTTCCCTCCTCCAAGCCCTCAACCCTCCCGATTATCTTACCACGTCTCTTCAAATGGACTTTATACGACACAAACATAACAACTCCGACGAATATCGAGACAGCTAAAATCACACCAACAATCATACCAATCGAAGAAGACGCTTTCGATGACGATCCATCTGCATTCATAGGATTTGCTCCTGCTCCATCACAGCACCCCTGACTTTCGTTTTTACCAAGTAAACTATTTCCACCGTAATTAAACTTCACATTAGCAGGAAAAACAAGAATTTCGCCAGATAAATTATTATTCGACACATCAAGATTCTGTAGCTGAGGCAAACTAGTCAAGACACTAGGAATCGAACCCGAGAGCTTATTATCATTCAACACCAAATTTCTCAGAGAGGTAAGATTCGCAAACGAGGGCGAAATCGTACCCGAAAACCCCTGTCTCGCCATGTTCACAATCGTTATATTCTTCCCTAGCGAATCGCAGTTGACGAATCTCCAATTTTGGCAAGGATTATTCCCTTTCCAAGAATCGGCCAACAGCAACGGATAACCGAGCGAACCAGCAATATCAAGAAGCAAACTCACCTGCGGATCACACGGTCCAGGTTTCTCCAAACAGAAGCTGTTAGTAATCCCTATCGTCGCCTCAACTTTGCTCGAAAATTCAGGATAAGGGCCCTGCAAACGATTGTTCTGCATAGTAATGTTGACAAGATTAGGCAAATTCATCAAAGAAGGTGGCACTATCCCTGTAAATTTGTTGTCCCTCAACTGTAAATCGAACAAATTCTCGCACGTCGATAAATCGGGAATCCCACCGGAGAACGCGTTAGCGTGTAGCCAAACCTGAGACAATTGAGTCATGTTTGATAAAACATTGATTGTACCGGATAAGCCTTGTATTTGATTGTTGAGCCAGAGGTTTTGAATTTCCGACCCGGAAAGGGATCCGGGTAGGGATCCGGTTAGGTCGTTGTAGGATAATCGGAGATTCTGTAAATTGGGGAAGAAATTGAAGAAATCCGGGATGGTTCCTTTGAGAGTGGAGTTACTGGCGAAGAAATTGACGAGATTTGTGCTTTCTGATAAGTAATTAGGGATTTCCCATGGCGATAGTTTGTAATTTTGGCTGATGCTGAATGTTTGGAGGTTTGTGAGCCCTAGGAGGAAGTTATCGGGGATTGAAGTGAAGCTGTTGTCGTCGAGGAGGATTTGTTGGAGAGTGGTGATGTTTTGGAAGGAAGGTAGGGTTCCGGTGATGGAGTTTTTCTGGAGGTTGAGGGATTGGAGCTGGGTGAGCTGGTTGAGTTCCGGCGGTAGGGTGCCGGAGACGGCGGCGGAGTCGAGGTCGATGGCGGTGACGAATGAGTTGGTCGGGTCGCATTTGACGTTGGTCCAGTTGCAGAAGTTGGTGGCGGAGGACCAGCCGGTGGGCGGCGGGGAGAGGGAGGAGAGGAGTTTTGACATGACGGCGGAGTCATCGGCGGCGGCGGCGGCGGAGAGGAGGATGAGGAGGAGGAGGAGAAGGTGGTGGTGGATGGCCATTGTTGTAGTGAAGGTGTGTTTTTTTTTTTTTGGGGTGTGAGATTTTTAGTATTTGTAAGGTGGTGGTGGTGGTTTATGGACAGAAGTGTAGAAGGTGGCGGTGGGTGGCGGCGGCGGCGGTTGGTTCTTTCTTTATGTAATATTCTTTGCTGTTGGATTCATTTTTATAATATATGGTTTTTAGTTTATGTTCTACTTAACAAGTTGACAGTTGTAACTTGTAAGGCAATCAGGGTCAAACATAGAAATTGACCAGTGTTGCCTTGTCGATTGATTATGTATCTATATATTCTGTATTGAAAAAGGTTGGGGAATATTTTCCTAATTTGAAAAATGAAAAAAATATATGATTAAATTTAAACAAATGGCTACAGGCTATTAGTATTTGATATAAATACTTTTTAGTCATGGAACATTTATTGTCCTTATAATCCTTAAATAATATTTCGTTAATTTAATATTTCGCTAAATTAATAGAATTTTAGTGAACCCGACTGTATTAATTTATGGAGATTTAAGTTTAACTATACTCCTTTCTCCATGTTTGTTTCTCCAAAAACCGCGCAATGCTAAGACTCCGAATTTTGATCTTCGACCAAACAGATTCGGCAACTCAATACTTGGGATTATGGGATTATGAATTTATGGAATTAAAACTAGGGATTGGGAGATAAAATCTGGTGGACAGCTCGAGGATTCGAAGAATTTTTTGGGTTTCCTAGGGTTTAGGAGAAAAGTAGGGAAATAAAATTGAGATTATGAGTGAGACAAGCAAGGGAAGAGAATGAGAGGTCTACTTAGGTGTATTCCAACTCGATTTTGACCGCCACATGAATGAGACGTGTGTCGCATGTTACAATTTCGTCCAAGTTAACTAAAAAAGTTGACCCTACAACCATACGTGTCCAAAAATGATAATGTTTTATTACGGGCTTCACTTAAATTTTATCATCGGCCGAAGAAGCCTGGCTCGGTAATGCATGGTAGGCCCGAGATTGCATATTAGTACCGAGCCCATGGGCCTCTTATATTATTTCACAATTTGTAATTAATAATATGAAATGCTATTTGCGGTCACAAAATTGCTATTCACGTTTTATAACAAAACGCTCAAAACTTTTTCTCGTTGGGATAAACAAGGATATCAAATGGTATTCTGACATGTGTACAAAATTGACAACTAATATATTAATTTTGGTGGACCCAACTTTGATCACAACGGAAAAAAATAAATGTAATCTATCCCTTTTATATTTTTTTCTTCAAAATTATAATTCTATCAGATTTGACGAAAAATACTAATTTCTTACAGTGTAAAATAATCCATATTTTCTTAAAAAGATCTTATTGAATATAAAAGTAATATTATATTTGTACTTTTTTATGTTTGGGAACACTATTGCACGAAAATGAAGATTTACATAGTACATCTACATAATTGATTACCACTTGCATGTTATTTTATGAAAATACAATTATGCAATAACCGATTAAGTAAATTGTAACTTCGAATCATTTATTGTAAAATTCAATTAATTCTAAATTCCATGCAATTTCAATACGATTGAAAAAATAATCGCAAATTACAAGTACATCACTCAATCACATAAAAATACACATGTGTTTCATTTATCAATTATTTCACAACAACAACAATATTCAAAATAGCCAATTAAATAGTACACAATACAAAATATCCAAGACCTAATTTTTAGTTCAAAAAAAATAAAATTAAAATTAAAATCAAAGAAGAAGCTCATCCACAAAACTCTTGAGATTGACATTAGAAGAACCATCTTCCTCCATAGCTTCCTTAGCCAACCCTCTCCACTTCTCCGCCTCTCTCCTCATCTCCGCCGCCCTATCTCCGCCGCCCATAACCACCCCCAAGCACCTCTCTATCTCATCACCCTCCACCACACCTCCACCACCACCACCACCAACTCTCACACCACTCCTCCAAAAATCCTCCACCAACTTTGCGTTCGTCGTTTGATCGGTCCACTGCGGAAACCCCACCACCGGCACACCGCAAACCAAGCTCTCCAGAGTCGAATTCCACCCGCAGTGCGTGAAGAAACACCCCACCGAAGGGTGCGAGAGCACCTCCACTTGCGTGCACCACCCCACAATCTTGCCTTGCCTCTCCAATTCCTCCCTATACATTAAAGAACCGCCACCCGGGAATATTCCCGAGAATATTCCGTCGAGCTTTTCGACGCTTTCGGCGCCTCTTATAACCCACAAAAACGGCTTCCCGCTCTTGATCAACCCTTTCGCAATCTCCGCCATTTGCGGTTTTGATAACTCCGAGTAGCTACCGAAAGCTACGTACACTACGGAGGATTTCGGTTTTGAGTCAAGATATTGTAGGTAGTCTTGTGACGGCGGTTTCTTGATTAGGTCGCCGCCGAACGATGTGTCGGTGGGGTCTTTTCCGTCGAGGAATGCCGACGGGATTAACGGACCTATTGCCGTTAGCTTGTACTTGGTTATGGCGGTTAACGCTTCGGATTCGAGAGATTGGAATGTGTTGATGAGCACCGTCGGAGAAATCTCTCTATCGAGGATTTCGAAATTCTCCGTGAAAGTCGGGAGTGCGAAGTCGTACATGCTAGGGTTTGAGGCTGACATGAATGACGGCAAATCTGACGGAGCAAACGGTGGCAACCCGGGAAGCTCGATTATTTTATTATTATTATTATTATTACCGTCGTCTTCTTCGTTCATAGCGGCGGCGTCGAAGTATTTGTTGAAGTAGTAGAAGTAGACGCCGAAGAGGATCGCCGGTTGGATCCAGAGGAGGGTCACCGGAACTCGGAGGCGGTGCGCCACCTGGCCGGCCCACGGGACGAGGAGAGTGTAGATCACGCGGCTGAAGGGGCGGTTTTCAGCTGCGGCGGCGGCGACGGCGTCCTCCACCGCCTTGCTGCCGTGGGTTCTCAGCGCCGCCATGAAGTTCTGGGTTTCGTCGTTGGACCAGCCGCCGTCGAATCCGTCGCTGAATGAGGCGAAGTTGATTGCGGCGGCGGTGGTGGTCATGCGGCGTACGGCGGACGAGCTGGTCAGGAAGGTGACGGCGACGCCGAGTTTGGCGAGGCGTTTGGCGAACTGGAGGGATGGGTTGATGTGGCCTTGAGCCGGAAATGTGACTAGCAGAACGTGGTGAATATTCTTCGCCGCCATTTTTGTGACAGAGAAATGAGCTCCAAGCTTTTTGTTTGTGTAGTGTAGTGTGTTGGTGGAGTTTATATAAATATTTGATTCATAAACAAAGACAAAATAAAAGCAAAATGGAACATTGCTTCTTTCTAATTAGTTATTACATTTCACAATAATTAAGTATTGTTTTTTTTTTTTGATCAAAATTCACCTTTTCTATTAAATTCTGTCGTTTATTTACACACAAATTAAAAGAATATTTAATAGGGTAAATTACAAACACCCCCCCTGAGGTATGGTCGAATTACAAAAACACCCCTCTTGTTTGGATAATTACAACCACCCCTCAACTCCTCAAATTTAGTGGAATCTTCGAGATTATATGGAATATTATCACTTTTGTACCCGTTTTATCCTATTCAAACTCTACATTATGAAGCAAGATGATCATAATATGTGATTTTTAGCTTGTATATATCAGTTTGTGGTGCATTAAAAACTGTATTTTTTACACAAAACGAGTACAAACTAGAGCACATTTCACGAAATCTAGATGACTATGTTGAATTTGGCACCATAAAGGTGGAGGTCTAAGAAAAAATCATAGTTGAGAGGGTGGATGTAATTATCCAAACAAGAGGGGTTTTTTTGTAATTTGACCTAACCTCGGGGTGTTTGTAATTTACCCAAATAAGAGCATCCACAATGGGCTCTCCAAAGGTGTTTTTAGTGTCAGAATTTAGTGGCTCTCCAAAATTTGGGGAATGAAGGGTGCTGCAGTGGAACATTAATAGGCTCTTTATGCCTCTCTAAAATTTGGGATTTGTCAAGTGGCTCTCCACAGATAGGAGCCACTTAACAATGTATTGTGGGACCATGTGGTTTCTTTATTATTTTCTTACGTTTTTCAACTCTTACTTGGTTTCTTTTTTATATTTTTTAATTTTTATTTATGTATATGAATGAAATCATTTATTGCCATTATTTTATTTATAAATAAAAATTATGTATTACATCCATTGATTTCTATATATCCATTGCACTAAAAAAATGTAAATAAAAAATATTTTGTACATAAAAAATATTTTCTATTAAATCTGTATTTATGTTTTGCCTATTGTGGGAGAGGTCTTCTAACAATTTTATTCCGACTCATTTATAATATTTTATGTTATTCATATTTATGTTAATTTATGTTACTTGTAAATATTTTAGATTTTGTAAATACAATTTATATATTTATAGAAATAGACAAAAATAAATAATTCACAACATAGTTAAAAAAATATTTTAATTAGGGAAAATAGTTTAATTCAAAAATTAATATAAATTGATGATGATTATATATTTTACCAATTAAATATAAAAAATAAAAATATAATTTCATAATTATTATATTTATGATGAATATTTTATTAGAATTTAATATTTAGGGAACCATTCTAGGGAGGAAGAAAACCAACTCATTGGAGTAGTTTGAAACTTGAACAGTGTTTAAGTGGGACCCATTGTTTAAGAGGAATTTTAATGTGTAGGTGGCATGTGGGACCCACATTTTGGGGAGGGGTTTTAGAGAGGAGTAGTGTGGATGCTCTTAATATGATTGACTTTAAGCAAGATACATAAAAAAACACTGAAATAAGTCAATAGAGGGAAGTATCTTTATAAAAATCTCTAACTAGTAATAACATATTTGTTTATTTTTTAAAATTAAATTATTATCATTCTTGCATCTTCTATTTTCCAAGTTTTTTTCTTTAACGACTTTTATACAAAATCAGATTTGCAAAAATCGACTAGCAAAATCCTAATCCACTTTGATTGGGCTTTTTTTTTTTTTTTTTATATATATATTTTGCAATTTGTTTTCTAAATCTCAATCTTACACAAGCCGATGATTTGATTATTTTATGTATTGTGGGATTCATCTAATTTTGATTTAGTTTTCTTTAATTTATTTTAACTAATTTATTATTTATTAATATAACTAAGTTGTGTAAATTTTCGCGTCATTGTTAGAAAGACAGTCAGATCTGGCATCAAATCCAAAGCCAAAAGGCCCACAAGAACTTTTAGTAAAAAAAAATTTGTAAAATCCACTTATAAGCTTCTAACTAATTATTCCTTATATGAAATCATAATTTTAATTTGTGACAATACACTAAAACACGTGACGTCATTGATGACAAAAGAATAACAAAAAATGACAAGCAACTGACAACAAGATAAGGTTTCTGAATTGTGCTTCTCATTTCTCCCTTGTCGTTATTTTTTTGTGAAAAATATTTATTAAAAAAAAAGACAATTATATATATTATATTGATCTGAAACAGGCATATCAATTTAGTTACGTGTTGCAATTTGATATACTCCATGTTGCAAGAATGTAAACCAGACGAATTCTCTGATTGAGCAAAAGAATATAAAAGTTAGGAATGGAAAATAGTATATCAAAACAATAATTGCATATCTATTATGGGCTTTACTGCAAATAAAGCATAGTTGCGGGCTGTTTCTATATTTACAAGAAATATTTCAAACTCTACGGCTCACAGGCAACATGCATATTGATATTGTACCGGGTGAAGTACATAAGTTTATATATGAAAATAATACAGTTTTCATCCCTCAAGTTTGCATTGATTTTAAATATGGTCCCCATGTTCGCAAAAAATATTAAAATATTACAATTTTCACCCCTCAAGTTTGTATCAATTTCACATTTGATCCTTCATGTTCACAAAATACACATTTGATCCATCATGTTTCAATCATTTTTGGTCATTTCCGTCAATTTATCATTAGTATGTTAGTTAATGCAGTGATGGGGAAACCGCTTGATTCCGTTAGTTTTAACGGGAAATTGACGGAAAGGACTAAAAGTGCTGATTTTTAAAACATAAGGGACCAAATGTGTTTTTTTTGTGAACATGAGGGACCAAGTATGAAATTGGTGCAAACTTGAGGGACAAAAACTGAAATTTTTGCCATTAAAATATTAAAATAAGAGAGACCAAATGTGTTTTCTTAATGAACATAGAGGACTAAATGTGATCTCGATGCAAAGTTGAAGGGTGAAAGCTGTAATTTTCTGGTTATAAATATGAACATAGGCATAAAATATGCAGTGAATATATACGTGTATAATTATTAGCGAATGTAATTCATCGAGCATAGTACAATGAAAACATGTAAATTCTCATGAAAAATGGCAACAAGACTGCACGAATCCTGTTTTCGGATATTAAGAAGACGATGACGCTTTGCCCCGAAAATCTTACCGCACACGAATCAGGAGTTGCAGCTCACATTCAAACCTTGGCCTTAATAAATGGAGACCATAACTTGAGAAAATATCTGCAAAAACAATCGAAAGCTTCCATGAAAACATCAGAGTTAAAGGAAGTCATGACCTTTTATTACAAATCAATGGAATGAACACAGGCACTTCATACATTGAATACCAATCCCGGACAAAGAAAAAAACATATGAGAAAGAAACAATTTATTACTTGAAACGGATATAGTTCATTTTCAGATATTCGCAAATACCACTTCTTACTTATAAATTCGGTGAAGTGTGTACACCGAGCAAAACATCTACCCTTCATTCGCATCAAATGGAAGTATGTAAACCCCCGGAACTGGCAGCCGAAAGCGAACCCCACCCACCACCACCTGGAGTTAAAATCTGAAGAATTTCACCACCCTGCACCTCCACTGTGTTTTTCCCGCCGAGGTTGACTTTTCGCCCGTCTTTCGTGATAAGGAAATTAGCTCCTCGTGCGCCGTCGATTCCTCCCTTCAACCCCCTAGGCGCATGCACACGTCTCTCGGAGAGAATACTCACAACAACAGGGCGTCTAAATTCTATCTCCCTCACAATCCCATCTCCCCCTCTATGAATTCCGCCACCTCCACTGTGCTTCCTCAGTCCAAACCTATGTAATAAAACCGGATACCTCTGCTCGAAAATCTCGGGATCGGTCATACGGGTATTCGTCATGTGGCACTGGACCCCACTAGCACCGTGCCAGGTGGGCCCCGCCCCGCTCCCACCTCCGATAGTTTCATAGTACCCGAAAGTGTTGTCCCCGAATGTTAAGTTATTCATGCAACCCTGCGAACAAGCACAAGCCTGAAAGGCTGTAAGAACAACATCGGTTATCCTCTGTGATGTCAGAACATTGCCGCCTACAACTGCCGCCTTGTCGCTCGGAGAGAGAAAAGAGCCTGGAGGAATGTATATCTTTACGGGAGCTAAGCACCCTTGATTTAGAGGGATATCAACGTCCACCAAAGATCGGAGGCAGTAAATAACAGCAGCAGCTGTAACTGCTTCCGGTGCGTTCCAGTTTCCGTAAACTTCAGGACTTGTACCCGAAAAATCGAAAAATGCTTCTCCTTTTTTTCGGTCAATCGTGAGCTTCAAATGTATGACTGACCCATCGTCCATGAAATCTTCTTCTTCGATGATTACGGAATCTCCTTCATTTTTGGCGGAGAGAGAGGAAATTTTAGCAGCGACGGACTTGAGCATTTCTCGAACTGCACCAGCAGCATTAACCTGCACGTGGTTCATGTAGGACTGGACAGTCGCCAAACCGTATTGCTCGATAAGCTCCTTGATAAGCGAAATCCCTCTTTGATTTGCAGCTATTTGGGCACGTAAATCGGATAAATTATCTTGAAGCCTTCGTGTACCGGGGATATTATGGGCTGAGTCGTCTGAAGATGGAAATAGGAGAAGTTTGCTGATTCCTTCTTCTTGAAAGATACCCTTTTCGACGAGCTTGAAAGCTTTTATTGCAGCACCTTCTTCCCATATTGATTTCGAGAATGGTGGCATACTTCCAGGTGTAATACCTCCAATTTCTGCATGATGCCCTCTACTTGCAACGAAGAAAACCAGTTTCCCGTTATCAAAAACAGGCGTAACGACAGTTATATCTGGGAGGTGACTGCCCCCAGCACAAGGGTGATTCGTGACCAAAACATCTCCTTCGTTCATATTGTCGCCCCAATAATCTAGCTGCCACCTGACTGTGCTGGACATAGCTCCTAAATGCACAGGAACATGAGGAGCATTTGCAACTAGACCACTGTCTGGGCCAAATAGAGCACAAGAGAAATCCAATCTTTCTTTAATATTCGTCGATATCGAGGTTCGCTGTAGGGTCCGCCCCATCTGTTCGGCGATTCCCATAAACCTGTGATTGAATATCGATAGCTGTACGACATCTGCAACTTCTTTAGATGCTTCAACGACTTTATGGATCGACTCAATCTCAATCTTGATGTTGCCGTATTTTGTAACAACGGCCTTACAGTTTGGTTCTATTATTACAGTACTGTTACCATTCATGATTACGGCGGGCCCACAAATGGCATGCCCACACGCCATATCTTCCAGCTTAAATAGAGGCGTATCATGCCAGCCATTCCCCAAATAGACCCTGTATCGACCATCAATTTTTGGTGTCCCCAAAACGGGATCTAAAGCACGGGGCTTAAGAATGTTAGTGACTCCAATGCCACGAACTCTCACATCGCATATCAGGATATTCCTGTTTTGAAGTTCAAATCCATATTCTTGTTGAAATAATCTTACAAATTCAATAGCATAATCTCCTCTAGATCCATCTTGGTTCATAGGGCTCTTCACCATAATTGCAGTGTCTGTTCCCTCGTATCTCAGATTTAAGTATGTCTCAGTTGTGATACTGTCCTCTTTAAAACCTTGCAATTGCAGCTTCTCGTTCACGCGGTTCAACAGAGTTGCTTCTCTATTAGAAACCTCCAACACAGATTCAGGACCATAAATAGCAGAATATGGTTCCTGTTCATCCTCAACAACATCTGCCATACCCATACCGTATGCACTTAAAATCCCACAGAACCTATGAATTAGCACTTCTTTCATTCCCAATGATCGGGCAATAGCACAGGCATGCTGGGGTCCAGCCCCTCCAAAGCAAGCAAGAGCATGGTTCTTTGTTTCATGACCCTTCATCTCAGTCAACTGTCGAATAGGACGGCACATGGTTTCGTTCGCAACATTAATGAACCCCTGAGCAATTTCCTCGATAGTCATGTCCTTTGCTGTTGGATCCTGTTCTTTTCTGTATAAATTGATGTGTCTGGCGAGTTTTTCAAATTCATCTCGAGTGGCACCGATGTCTAAAGGCTGATCCTCGCTTGGTCCGAAGATTGAAGGGAAATAATCAGGAATAACATATCCTAGGACAAGATTCGCATCGGTAACAGCCAGTTCACCTCCCTTCCGATAACAAACAGGTCCTGGATGGGCACCAACTGACTCCGGGCCCACCCTGAAAGCTCCGAATTGGAACTTTAACTTCGATCCACCTCCAGCAGCGACCGTGTTAATCTCGAGCTGAGGTGCTTGAATTATTGCTCCGGAAATTTGGGTTTCTATAACGTGTTCATAGCTGCCAGCATAACGGCTCACATCAGTAGAGGTGCCACCCATGTCAAAACCAATAAGGGGCTTTTCCGTCTCGACACCAAAAAGTGTCTGCGAATATCCAACTACTCCACCTGCAGGACCAGATAAAACAGCTTTATGGCCGGAAAATCTGCTTTCTGGTGCCAATCCCCCATCAGACTGCATAAACAGAACATTCAGTTTACCCAGTCCTTCATCAAATTTGGATATAAATCCTTTTAAATACTCTTTAATAACCGGAGTAAGGTATGCGTCAACGCATGCTGTAAAACCGCGAGGGACAGCTCGAACCATGGGGGTCAAAGCAGATGAGAGAGAAACGTGTTTGAATCCCAAACTGATCGCCAATTTCTCAACTGAAACTTCATGTTGTGGATAAGTGTAAGAATGCAGTAATACTACTGCTAAGCAGCTAATACCTTTTTCCAACAAACTTTTAAGCAGAGGCTTTAGATCTTCCTCATTAAGCGGCTTCGCAACTCTGACAAACTCCCCAGAAATACCCTGTACTATCGACGCAGACGAATCTGACTTTGCGTTCTCTTCGTCAAGAACCAGCTCTACCCTCTCATCAATTTCCACAACCTCCTCGTAAAGATTTGATGGTTTTGATACAGTGAGGTCAAAGATATTTGGCCGGGCCTGGTTACCAATCTGCAGCAGATCCCTGAAGCCACGAGTCACACAGAGTGCAATTTTTTCGCCTTTTCTCTCTAACAGTGCATTTGTGGCCACCGTTGTTCCCATCCTTACCCATTCAATCTTATCTGTGGGGACTTTCGAACTTCGAGGAATCTTTTGCCCAGTAAATTCCTCCAAAATCCTCCGAATTCCCTCTACTGGCGCATCGTCATAATTAGTTGGGTCAACAGATAGCAGCTTCATTACTCTGCCTTCGGACTTGCCAGGAATTTCGGCATAGACATCAGTAAATGTGCCGCCTCGATCAATGCAAAATCTGAGCTTCCCTTCTTCGACGCTCCCCATTAGTTATTGTATCGGTTAATTACTGCAAACAGAAGAATCCCAGTTCAAATGCATAAAATTTTGTATCAAAACACAGTTAAGAACAGTCAAAATCTCAATGTCTACGGAAATCGAACAATGGTTTCTGCTTATGAAACAAACTAACAACTCCTCCAGGAAATGTTTCAGAAGTTTCATTAGGGTTTACTAAAATGGCCGATTTTTTGCATATAATAATAGCAAGTGGAAAGATCAGGCAACAGGTGCGATGCGGATTCTGGGAAAGTTCATTGAACCTAGACACAAATTAATGTCAACAATTTCTTTTTACTCAAAAAACTACTACACACACTAGAACACGCACAAATCACACACATATCATGCGCATAGATTTTCTTCGCAGCAAAAGATACATAAAAACAGATAAGCTCGGCCAATTCATTCGGACAAAAAACAAAGTATAAACCGAAAGAGTAAAGACGATGAATCGATCGTTTATTCTGTGAAAACGATTGCAGAAACTAATTAATAACTTGCGATCGGAAATTGAATTGAGTTTTTATCGTACCTGAGAATACGTCAATGGCAAAGGGGTTTACCAACAATTTGGATGTGGGACTGGAGTGGAAGGTTTGCAGGGGTGTGGGGTTAATTTTATATTTGGTCCCCATGTTCACAAAATACATATTTGGTCCCTCATATTTCAATAATTTAACATCTTTGGTCATTTTTGTTAATTTATCATTGGAGAACTTATAACTTTTGGCCTTTCACTTTACACAGATTTCATATTTGGGCATCATTGTTCACAAAAAATATATTCAATCCCTTATGTTTCAATATTTTGATATTTCTGGTCAATTTACTGTTAGTATGTCAGTTAAGAGAGTGATAGATACATGCTCAATTCCGTTAGTATTAAACGGAATATTAACAAAAATGACAAAAAATGTTAAACAACTGAAACATAAATGACTAAATCTGATTTTTGTGAACATAGGAGACCAAATGTGAAATTGAGGTAAACTTTAGAGACGAAAATTGTATTTTTTTCCATTTACCATTAGTCGGTCAGTTAAGAAAGTGATGAGCACATGCTTAATTTTGTTAGTAGTAACGGAAAAATGGACAAAAATGACGAAACATGTTGAATTTTTGAAACATGAAGAACCAAATGTGTTTTTTTGAACACGGGGACCAAATATAAAAATGGTGCAAACTTGAGGAACGAAAACTATATATTTTTCACGGTTTCTAATCTATTTTAAGGGTATTTCAGGAACGAATAAAAGGAGGGAAAAATACAGTTTTCATCTCTAAAGTTTGTACCGATTTCATATTTGGTCCGTAATATTCACAAAAAATACATTCGGTCCTACAGGTTTGAAAAATTCAACATTTTTAGTCTTTTCCGTCCATTTTTTGTTAAAACTAACGAAATCAAGCATGTGCTTCCACTATGTTAACTGACGGACTAACCGTAAATTGACAAAGATGACCAAAAGTGTTAAATTATCAAAACATGATGGACTAAATGTATTTTTTGTGAACATGAGAGGTCGAATATGGAATAGATGCAAACTTGAGGGGTGAAAACTGTAATTTTCCAAATAAAAGGGCAAACATAGACACGTTTGAGCACCAGAGGAATGAATCAAAATTACAGCTTCTCTACTAGTTTCAAATCCCCTGCAACGCAACTGCCGGAAATCCCAAGCTCAATAAATGGCTCCAAAAGTTCTAATGGTGAGATTTTTCTACTTTTCCGTTTCTTCTGGAATTGCGTTTGATGCCTCTGTTAATGGAGTTTCGTGAAAATCAGGTCGCCGAGAAGCCAAGCATTGCTCTGGCAATTGCTACAGTTCTTTCCAGTGGTCGAGTAAGCCCTCTTTTCTCTTCCACTTTTTTTTTTTTTTTTTTTTTTTTTTAATTCATGGCATTTCGTTTGATCCCCCACTGCTTAACTTTTTAAATTGACTGAATAGATATCAATTAGGTTTTATTTTTTTTGTTGCATTTGCTGTTTTCCTGTAATGGATTGAATGTATTTTTTCAGCATGCCAGCAGTTTTCCTGTACCTGCTACGTTTTTTTGGATTTAGAAGTATAGTTTCACGAACATTCGGGGAGTTCTACGCAAATCCCTTTCGATTTTGAACGAGTTATAGTTTCGATTTTGTTGCTTCGCTTCCTTTTTAATAAATAATTGCTGCAACAAGAAGACTTTCGAAATGAAGTGACTCCTTGATTTAGAAAGCTGGAAAAGAACTTTTGTTTATGTGAACACTGTAAAAAGTAGGTTATTTTGATAGAATACATTTGCAAGGCTTTATCGTTTTCGTCTCAGCGGATAATTCCATCTCATTGAGATTAATTTCCAACTTTTTATTGGAATTTGTATGGAAATGAAAATGTATTTGCCTATAGGAATTTCGGTGAGAAACTTAGTTATAGGGTATAGAATGAATATGTATTTGATTTAGTATGCTTTTGTTTCAGTTTTCATTTGCATGATAGATATACCAATATTTTTGTTTTAATTTTGGAATTTGCAGAATCAATTATTGTTTCGCTGGACTTTATCACATAATTATTGCAGTTTTTGAATTTAACGTCAACTGGATTATGCAGAGTCTGTTTTTCTTTTCCAATCGAGAAAATCAAATCATTGGTTATTATTTGGTCGGTGGTGTCTTTATAGTGGACCTGAAGTCAAATTACATCTGTTTCTTCTTTTTTTGTGGATATGCATTCAACTTATGTATACATATTTTCTTATAGATGTCATCTCGAAGGGGGAGCACTGAGGTTCATGAGTTTGATGGAATGTTTTTGGGATTCCCTGTCCAGTATAAAGTGACATCAGTAATCGGTCATGTTTTCAGGTTTCGACTTCCCTTGATTTAATGTATACCCTTTAGGATATTATCTAATAAGAAGATGTTTTTTCTAAAAAAAAGTTTGATGAGATAAAGCTGAATTAATAAATTCAAAATGAAATGTAAACATTGGGTTTCTTATTCCTGCAACTTATTTCCTCGTATAGTTTGTCACTCGAGTGGTACATTGGTTTTATTTTTGGGTAGGAATTGTTTGGCTTGAGTGGATAATTTATCGAGTGTTAGTTGGATCTTTGTCCTTGAACAAAACAATTTATAGTGAGAGGGTATTAGCTTTCATGATAACTGTTCTGTATGATTTGCTGTAAATGTTTAATGGTTTAAATATTTGATTTTGAAATTATCTGTTTTTGGAAGTTTAGTGTAGATTTTCCCGCCCGTTATCAAGATTGGAATGCCACAGATCCTCTGGATCTCTTTGATGCGCAGATTGTTAAAGCAGAGTCAAATCCAAAGGTATTCTTACATTTTGCATTTTTAACATAATTTTGATTAAGTTATTATGATTAGACTAACACTGAGAATTTTATTACTAATAGTTTGTGTGTTTGATAAAATGTTTATTGAATATATTACATGTTTTTAAGACTTATGACAGGGAACAAACTGAAAGTATGGAACCTATTTGACTAGTCATCATATTGTTTTGTCACAACATCTATTGATTCTTTTACTAAGTTTATATACTATTCACAATGGTTTTCATTGTTCTCTTATACTTTTGGGATAGACAACATCTAACATGCTCTTCAAGATAGGCTCATATTTGTAGGCATTTAAGCCAAGAAGCTCGTGGTTGTGGACACTTAGTATTGTGGTTGGATTGCGATCGCGAAGGAGAAAATATATGTTTTGAAGGTATTTTTCTGTATTGGATAGCTCTTGTGGTTTATTTGACCACAACTAGATCGTTACTGGTTTTGTTGAAGTCCTGTAATCATTTCCAAAATCTTCTACCCATCTAATTATGTGTTTATTCATATGCAATGAAGTCTCTCTAGTTAGGCTAATAAATGTATGATTTACTTAGAATTGTTATCAATAGGAAAGACTAGACTGAAGCATATTTTAGTTTTATCACTTTTCTGAGCTGCTGTTTTTCTTTTGTAATTTTTTTCAGTTATTGACTCTACGGGTTTCCAGTCAAAAGATGGCAAAAAAATTTACCGCGCTCGATTTTCATCTGTAACTGAGAAAGATATTCTGAAAGCCATGAATAGCCTTGTTGAACCTAATAAAAACGAGGCACTGGCTGTGGACGCCCGCCAAGAAATAGATTTGAAAGTTGGAGTTGCTTTCACACGTTTTCAGACAAGCTATTTCAATGGGAAATATGGAAACCTTGATTCAAGAGTTATCTCGTTAGTCTCTCTCCCTGTCTAACCATTAATGTAATGGTATTGCAGCTAGAACAAAGCAAAACCACTCTTCTAAGAATTTTAGTAAGCATTCTTGAAAATATTATTCTCAGTAAAATGAAAATGCATAAATAATGGTAGAAACTGCCTTCATCTATAATCCAGTCCCTTCTCTACTTTTAACCGTTGATCGTAATTCTTACTAGTGATCCCGCTTTCTATTCCATAAAAATTTTAGAAAGCTCTTTCAAATAGCAGCTGTAGTATTGTGATGTCTTTCCTTTGCGGGCATGCGTATGTTACTTAGTTCTGTAATTATTTTGACTCTAATTTCAGTTATGGGCCGTGCCAAACTCCAACCCTTGGATTTTGCGTGCAACGACACCAAACAATTACTACTTTTAAGCCAGAAAAGTTTTGGACATTGCATCCTTACATACTACACAAAGGCTATGAACTCAAGTTAGAATGGGAGCGACAAAGGTTATTTGACTTTGATGTGAGGTCCTCTATTTTGAAGTTTAATTGCGAACATCATATATTTCAAATGCTTTATACCTGTAAGTTTTGTTATTTATAGGTCGCTCAAATGTTCTGCAACTTTGTAAAAGAAGATGGGATGCTGAAAGTTATTAGCATATCTGAAAAACAGGAGTCAAAAGGTCGCCCCACTGGTCTCAATACAGTGAACCTTATGAAGGTCAGAACATGCTAAGTGTCTTTTTTGACTTTTCTATGATTCGGCTTATTGGCCTCCTGATAATAATTTATTTACACTGCCTTGTTAGTATTTGAAAAATCTATTTAAAATGGAAAGCTTCATAAGAATTGAAAAATCATTATTTTGGTGTGAAGTTTCAAATGGGAAGTACATATAGATTTTTTTTTATTTCTCATCATGTTTGTCTAATTCAGGTAGCATCAAGTTCTTTGGGCTTTGGACCCCAGCTGGCAATGCAATTGGCCGAGCGTTTATATACGCAAGGTTATATCAGGTATGTAACTCCCATTTTCTCTTATTACAGTATGTTTTGGCAGGATCACCAGTTTCAAGAAAATCAGAAAATACTAGAAAATGAAATGCATGTAACCAGTTCTCTCTTATTTTTTCTCTGTCTTCAACATCTTGTTCTGTGCTTATGCACTTTTCCGTTTTTCTCTTTCGTGATACTTTAGCTATCCCCGAACAGAGAGCAGTGCATACCCATCTTCATTTGATTACAAAGGCACTCTTAAAGCACTAGTACGCAATCCAGTGTGGGGTGATTATGTGCAGCAACTTCTGTCTGAAGGCTATCATACACCAAAATCGGGAACTGATGCAGGTGATCACCCCCCAATTACTCCAATGTCTTCAGCTACAGAGGATATGCTAGGCCATGATGCATGGAATCTCTACCAATACATTTGTCAACATTTTCTAGGATCTCTTTCTCCTGATTGCAAATATACAAGGTTAGATCTGTATTTTTTTCTATTACATCCATCTTTCGTACTTTTGAGTGCTACAATTTTATCTCGGTGATGTGTTCATTTAGATCAGATTTTTAGGACTGTGAAATCTTCATTGGCTAAATTTATCATCAAAATTCACTATGTATATAATATATTCAAGTTGGTTTAGTGTATAAAATAATAATAATAATGGAAAAAAAATGCAATATTTCTTACTTTTTAGGCAAAATATGGGATTTCCCAATCCCGAATTCCCGAAATATTTAGGGATACCGATATACCGGGATTTTATAGTATGGGACGGGATTCGGATTTAAAATTTCTATCCCGAATCCCGAAATCCCAATCCCGAAAATCCCGAATTCCCTAAATCCCGTCCCGAACTCACCCCTAAAATTCAGCTAATTTTTAGTTGCATTTATGACATGTTTAGTGTTAACCTCTGTGTTAAGGATTTGGATTATTTTGGATGCTATTTGAAATGTCGAGCCAGCTTACAGAGGTTATAATAGTGGTATAGCTTACAGAGCTAGTTCACAATAGCATTTTCTATGTCGATATGACAAGATCTGGGTTGTTTTTATCTGCAGGACAAAAATTGAATTTCAATCTGGTGGAGAATTATTCCAGTATGTTGGGCAGCACGTCAAGGTCAAAGGATTCACATCCATTATGCCATGGTTGGCAGTGAATGAGATAAACATACCTCAGTTTACTCAAGGGCATAAAATCGAGATATCAAGAATTGAAGTAGACGAGGTATTTACTTAGTTACTTGTTGGTTTATTTGCGCCGTTCTTCTTTCTTTTGGTACCATATGTTTTTTTTGTTTCCGTTTCATTGAATCTATACCTACTTTATTTAATTGTGCAGCCTGACCATGAGAAGGTCAAATATCTAACTCTTGATATTTTTCAATACCTATTAATTAGCTTTAAGAGTGTATGGCATGAAAATTTTATTAATGTATGTATCTTTAATATGCATGCCAATATGAACAAAATATTATTTTTTTACTTAGCCCACCATAATCTGTCTCTGTCTTTTCCTATTACCAATAACTTTGTGTACTTCCAGGGCAATACACGACCTCCCGATTACCTTACTGAAAGTGAGCTCATTTCATTAATGGAAAAGAATGGAATAGGGACTGATGCATCCATTTCTGTACACATCAACAACATATGCGAACGTAATTATGTACAGGTTTGTAACACCTCTGTCTTGCTTCTATAGAATTTTTTTCATGCATGAATGAGCTTGAGAACCCTGGAATATACTTTAGCTATATCACTGAAATAATGGGCCCGTTATTTTTATCGCTGGCTTGAAACATAAACCGCAAACATTCGACAAATCTTGATTATATCGTGTATTAGGCCTAATCATGATATGTAGATAATTATATCCTGCCACTACATTGAAATTGCAGGTACAGGCAGGAAGAAAATTGGTTCCTACTGCTCTAGGTATCAGCTTAATAAGAGGCTACCAATGCATAGACCCAGATCTCTGTTTACCCGATATCCGAAGTTTCATTGAGCACCAAATTGCCCTTGTAGCTAAAGGTCAAGCAGATCATTCTTTAGTTGTGGAACATGTGATAGATCAATTCAGGAGGAAGTTTAGCTACTTTGTCAAGCAGGTGAGAAATATTTTATGCTTTTTCTCAATTTGTTATTTTGTAAATTGTTACAAAATCTTTGGAACAATTAACAGCTAAGACATATCGAGAGAAACGAGAGAAACCATTACTAGATGTGTCTTATGCTATAGATTTGCTTGTGACTACTGAAAGCCATGCTCCTGTATAAATGCAGATTGAAAACATGGATGCCTTATTCGAAGCAGAGTTTTCCCCACTCTCAAGCTCGGGGCGTGTGCTTAGCAAATGTGGCAAATGTCTTCGGTACATGAAGCATATATCTTCCCAGCCATCACGTCTTTACTGTGGGACATGCGAAGAAATTTATTACACTCCTCCAAAGGGTTCTGTCAAGGTAATCATGTATACACCTCTGCATATCTGTTGATTGCAGTCACTTCCTTTCTAGCATATGCGTAGGTTTCCAAACCTCGATGTTTTTGTTTTCAGCTTTTTAACTTCAAATATGCTATTTCAAGAACTTAAATGTTAAATGTCGTTTCGATTTTACTAATACCGTTTTGACTTCGAACGTGATTTTAACCCTTTTTCTAGTCTGATTTCGGCAAAATTCAAAAACACAGAAATTGTAGTTCTTTGAGTTGGTTTTGTAATCCAACTTGAATCAGCTAAACTGGATATCGGGTGACAAAGTTATGTACGAATGAGTTACATTTTGAGTTTTAAAAAACTCAAAACATCAAAGTTGTGGGCAATGTCTTGGTGATTCAAGTTGGTTTAGAAAGCTAACTCAAAAAGCTACAAATTACGTGTTTCGCGTTTTGCCGAATTCAGCCTCGAAAAATGGTCAAAATCACGTTTGAAGTCAAAAACGACATTTATCACATACCTTTCAAGAAATTGACGCAAGATATTTCTTTGTTTCTCTCTCTCAAACACAAAGCTATACAAGGAGCTTACATGCCCTCTCGACAACTTCGAGCTTCTGCTGTTCTCAATGCCTGGACCAGACGGTAAATCCTTCCCATTCTGCCCTTACTGCTACAACAGCCCTCCATTCGAAGGCATCGACAATTTATACGGAGCAGGTAAAGCCGCGGGTCCCACCAAGTTAGGCAAGGGGGCCGGCATGCCCTGCTTCCTCTGCCCACACCCCACATGCCAGCACTCCATGATATCTCAAGGGGTCTGTGCTTGTCCAGAGTGTGACGGTACTCTAGTGCTCGATCCAGTCAGCGCACCCAAATGGAGACTCTATTGCAACATGTGCAACTGTCTCGTTTCCCTTCCGGAAGGTGCTCATAGGATTTCGACGACTAAGGACCATTGTCCTGAATGTGA